GTAATATTCTTCTGAGGACATTTTCAACTTTAGAAGTAAATTGTTTTACTTAAGTAATAGAACATATTAAGTAATAGAACAAAGTAGATTTTGAAATGCTGTTATTAAGACTATGTGTGATCTTGATTTGTTTTAATAAAACAAAATTGTTTTTAATGTGTTACATGTCGTGTATTGAATGAAGTCTTAACCTTCCACCGATATTTACCTAGTCCACTTTATTCAAAGCCCAGATAACAAATGGAAACAATATAATATTGGGTAACATAGGGGAACATAACATTACTAGTCAACTTTTTTGCAGAGGCTTTAAGCTTCAGTTAATTTGAAAAATATTGCTTCCATAGGTTATATTTTTATTCTTCTCTTTGCAACTGTAAAGGGCCATTAAAATGGTTGTAATGAGATTATATAGGAGTATAATCAAAGGCCATACATTGCTGAATAATGAATGCCTATTTACAAATTTTCATTGTACATTTTTCTTTGAATGTGCAACCTCCCTGGCCTGAAAACTCCATATAGACTCTATAGATAAACATTCAGTGTGGAATTGATGGAGGAAGTAATTGTGTTTGTGTGTATACCTATTTTGAGAAGAAAAGAAAAATATTGGAATAAAACAGCAATTTAAAAAAATGTTGATCATTTCTACCAAACTAGAAACCTCATAGATTCTGAAAGTAAATATATTTTCTCTGCTTTGAATTGATTACTCTAAAATCTTATGGCTCGTGGTTCTGAATCTCCCCATGTAAATCCTCTGTTTTCAAATGCCTATTGTTCATGCTACATCAAATAAATTCTTGTTCTAAAAGTTAAGAAATATTCTTCATATGACTCAGGGATTATACAAATAATTTTTATGAAATTTAATGATGTTCCCAAAATAATTTGAAGATGTAATTTCATAGTGAGTATCCTAAGTTAAATTGTATTAATTAGAACATTTTATTTTTTTCTTTTCAATTGGCAAACTGTTTAAGCCAATTTCTCTTTACTTGCTGTTTTTTTCACTTTTTGTAATTGACATAACTGAGTTGATAGACTATTGGGCCAATCTGGATAAACACTGAAGAGGCTTCATAAGTCATCAGGTTGTTTTGACATTTACTAAAAAAACAAGACGACACTAGGTGTATAATAGATGTTATATAATTAGCCGTGAGTGTGTTGAGGTGATTTTGTGGCTCCAGGTAAGAGATTGAAAACAGCCAGGTGAAGAAATGACATTGATTCTGCCTGTGCAGAGAGATCACTTGTATAGAGGCTGCAAAATTTACTGTGTCTGAATTTAATGACAGGAATTCTGCTTCTTTCATTTCCTCATTGTCTCCAGTGTCTTGCTGTCTGTTTAGGTTCACCCCCAGCTACCCGTGCATCACATTCCTTCCTCTTTGCCGATTCTATGGCTACAGCTTTCTCACTGTTCTCCCCACCCCATGTCATTTCACACAGTACCTTATAAGTTCTTATGAGAGCCTTGGATTTTTTTCATGTGGTCAATTTTTTTTT